CATTTGAACAAAACTGTGATTTTTAAACAGTTGAATGAATGAAGCGAAACAAAATGGAATTACGGCTAAATTTTCTTTAAACATTCGAGCGAATTTCGAACATAATTTTATATGGAATAGCTAACATCTTTAGATCAGCAACTCACTTGAACCCACCTTGATTTTATTTTTAAACAATTTGGAATAATATATTTTTAAAAAGCAAACATTCAACCAATATTTATGTTTTCTTCATATTTAAGTTTTTGGAATAATGAAATTGACAAATTAATAAGTGGGATTTTTTTGGATGAAAATCCTATTAGATAATAAATCCACTTATTAATACAAGTGGAATTATTATCCACTATGACAAATAAGTTTTTGGATTTGATTTAATCCATAATTTTAATCGTGTTCCATAAAGATAATAATCCCACTTAGAAATGTAAGTGAAATTATTATCTACCTGGGAGATAATAATCCCAATTGTAATTATAGGTGGGATTATTATCTTTCCGGAAGGATAATAATTCCACGTGTATTTCTAAGTGAGAATATTATCCCGCAGGGAACATTTAAAAATTTGCGATTTTCGGGGTTATTATCCCGCAGGATCGTGGAATTAATATCTTTCGGGGATTTTACCCCCCATCATGAAAAAGCAAAAAAAAAGAAAACAAGAATGAAAGAAAAACTTTTAGTGACGTCAATTGAGAAAATGGGGAAACAAGCATTGAAAGAGTAAAAGCGAGTTATTGTCATCTGATGTTCTCTCACTCCCTTACTCATTTTTTTCATGAACGAAAAATAAATATGGGCCGAATGAGAAATGAAACGATAAAGGTCATGTGGTGTACACATACTGTACACAATTTTTGTTTTATAGTTTTTGTTCAAACGGGATCGAACATACAAATTAAATGTTTTTTGATTCGTTTTTAGTCTTTATTTGTTTTTTGTTTCATTAGTTGATAGTTAAATTCTTTTTATTTAAGGGATTTAATGAGATTTTCCATCAATTTGTTTAATTAAGTTCACTTAATATTTAAGTGATTTGCAATGATTTCGCTCTTCAGTGTCGTAAATTAAAGGAATCTATATAGCTTTTAGTTATCAAAACATTATTTGATTAAAACATTCCTCATCTGAAATGAACCAATGTTGGATAAGGGATAAGAAATAGAATGTGATTAAATCTTTTTAAAAGTATTTCAATTCTTTTGTTAATTTCTTATCATATAAAAGAAGTTTCCTAAAGATACGTTTATGGATATTTTTGTAAATGTATAAGTGACCGTTCAATATCGGTATTCGCAAAGAAATTTCCAATCATGAATTCCACTTGAATGACTTCTCTTTATTTTCTTTTGATATTTTTACCATACTCCGATTTATTTTTCTTGAAGGAAATTTCGTCAGAATTAGTTCGATCACAATACACATTCTCGTACCTGGATCTGAAACCTTAAATCTGACAAAACTTTTACCATGGTTGGTATTCACATAATGATTATTCTATACTTTTTCTCTTTACCCACTTTCTATTTTTATTATTGGCTTCTGGTTTCATGAGATGAAAATACCCATAGCAATTCCTTGTCAAATGGAGCAAATACATGAAATCGAATTACAGGCATAATTCTTATTTCTTCTTGTGCCTGTATTACATACGCATTGGAAATTTTTAATGTATACGAATACATTTTATTCCATCTCACTCATTGAAGCTTTTTATGCTTAACTTGAAACTCCTACGTTCTATGGTAAATGATGATTTTGAAAGCTTTTTCAATCGTACTTTTCCGTAGTATTTATCAATATTTATTATAAATTATGTTTCCTCTTTTGCACTTACTTCGCGCTTCGTTTAAACTTCATTGATTATTTTCTGCTTTGTGCTTTATATTGGCTTAACTTATGAAGCGAAAAATAATTTTGTCAATTGATCGTTTTAGTGGCCATAAGAAGTTCATATATAGATATTTTTCGTCCTTACTTGTTTTCGAAACGTTTGTTTTAATCGTTTGAGTAGCTTACATACTTTTTCATTTCAGTAATCTTTCGAAATATGTACGATACGATACATAAATGTTTTTCCTCGCATTCGATTCCAAATGTTCTTATATCGAACTCGTTAAGTGGAATGTTCCGGTTGAAACTATGGATATTCTCATTTTACCTTCGAGAATCTCAACATCTAGGAATAGCATTATGCAGTTTATGAGAGGACCTAAGTAGCTTTTAATACTTTTCTCGTGTTTTTTCTTATAATGTCGAACATTTATTTGACTTCAATGTAAAGTGTTCTGAATTCCCATGGCAGCTATTATACTTTTATTCATTTATATTGAATTCTAAAAAAACGTTCTTGATTTTACAAATGATCATTTTTGTACGAAATTAGCACTAAGAGTATTTCGCAAATGCTTGTATGCATTTTGGCATAGAATTATTTACATTGCATTTTTAAATCTCATTAGTAAAGATGAAACAAAAAACATCAATCATTTATACTCACTTCACTCTTAATTAAATTCATATAATCGCACATCTCCTGAATATCATTTTTCTGATAATTAAGTTTTACATCAAGTATGTATCTCCTAAATCAATCGACTTACGGAACATCAAGTAATTAAATTATAAGAATATTTTTGCTTGCTCAGAAAAATAAATAATCTAATGACTGTAGAAACGAATGAATGAGAGAAAGGAGATAAAAGTAAAGAAATATCAGGAAAAGGAAAAATAAAGAAGCTTAATGGATGAACATGAAAAACTAATTGCGTCTTACATCTTCAAGTTTGCAGACGTAGCATTAAGCATTAAGATCAAAATTTTATTAAAGATAAAATAAAGAATTGATACTAAATTATTGAACTTTCGGAGGTTGAAGCTGAATAGCTTTTATATATAATAATAGTCGATGAATTTTAAGCTTTGTATAAAAAGCTTGAGAAGTTTTGAATATCTTTTTTGTTGTTTCAAATTTAACAAAAGAATAATTAAAAAATTAATTTTATTAAATCGAACTTAATAGTTTTTCTGCTCTTGAACATGAAGCATATCAATCTTCAAATTACACATAAGTAGCTCATATAACTCAAATCAATCTCTATTATACTGTAGTTCATGAGGGAATTTCTCTATTTTTTGCTAATACATACGCCACTTCATATTTGAAGAAGCAATTTTCTCAGCTGTTATATAAAAAAAAAGTATAAAGAAGAATGGGAAAATCTCATGAGTTAAAGCTAATAAAGAAACAGCTTCTGCCACACAGTTATTTACGAAGAAAGTTTTCTTTTCTTTCCTTTTTTCCTCGATAAAATTTTCTTTTTTCTATTTCTCTTTTCATTGCAATTTTATGCTTCCTAACATTTGAGCATAAAATATGTACTTATATGTATTTATTGAAGTTCTTGTCCTCTCGTCACTAAATAAGCCAATAACTATAGTTCGAGATCACTTCGTTGAAAATTTTGAGGTTTTTTTTTTTGATGTTTAAATATTTTGGAAAATGAAAGTTATTTACAGCTTAACTCATTTCTTTGTCACAATTGTTGATGTCAATTCTTGGAAACACTTTCACTCGTGATAAATAAAGTCACACAAACAACACGAAGTTTGCGTGCAAAAATCAGAATAAATGTTTTACAATCCAATTGGTGTATTTTTGATCTTAAACTAATTCTTTCGTTTCCTACAAATTGCAAAAAGACTTAATTGATTAACCACAATAAAAAAATATGAATGCTCTGCGTGATTGTTTTCGTGTCCTTTATTAAATATACAATTTTAGTGCTTGATTTTAGTGCCTAATAAATTCCCAAGCTTTTTTGGTTTGTAGATTTTTTTCGTGGCAATCACTGTTGCTTAAAATCTCAACAAACTTACAACTGTTACAGAAGATTTCAGATTACCATAGGCTGTTAACCTTGTAGGCAAAATCATTCATTTGAATATCAAATGAAATATTCACGAGCAGTTGTTAGGATCAAAATCAAGCAAATTGCTACTGAATAAATCAAACTGTAACAGGCGTAAACTAGTTGAGTCAGCTTGAGAGTAAAAGTAGAATCTAGTTGTAGAAGTTCCATTTTTTAATACTTTTTATACTATTTTTAACAAAAGGGCTATTTTGTAGTTTGATGTTGTCTGCAGAACGTTAAACGTTTTTAACAAATACGTATAAATATTATATATATATTTAAAAAATGAGATAATTTTTTAGGACAAATTTAGTTTAACACAAAAATTTAATCGAGGGACAAAAATATTATTCGGATATATGCAAAAGTTTTTTCAAGTAAAATTAATAAAAAAATTGTTTTCAAATTGAAATTTGATGAAATTGTTGCCAAAAAAATGAGGATTGAACAAAAAATTGGTAAATTCATTGACAGGTGCCTAGTTTGTATGTTTTCAATGTCTCCTCAATGTTCAGTAATCACATTTTGGCCCAATTAACAATTTTGTTGGAATTGATTCAAATTAGCTTTCTGCCCAACCTTCAATTAATTAGTATATATTTCGTGCAATTGTCTGTCAATGATGATACCAATTTAAAATCATGACTATCGTTCCACAAAACCTTCTCATTTTTATACAACCTTTCATTGCAATTTGAACAAGTATATATCCAAAAAAACACACAAAGAGATAATTTTCCAAAGTAATTTTCCAAGTTTTTCAAATTTATTTTCTTTCAAATATATTTTCTTTGAATTTTTATTCACATCACATAGATTGTTTCTTTTTGAATTGAGATTTTTGAAAGACAAAACAATTTTGCATATTTGATATATATTTGAAAAATATTTTTATCCAAAAATTTAAAATCAAATCACCACAAATTTTTTATCAAATCAATCAAAAAATGAGATTAATATGTACATAGACAAATGCAACAACAAATAACCCTTTAGGCAAATGTACAAACTAGTGACAAACCCAAGCCCTTGGCAAATGCTTCATTTAATATACCACTAAAATCATCATTTGGTTTCCGATGGAAGGTGACGTATGGTCAACAGCAGGAACAGCAGAAGAAGAAGCAAATGCCATCAACACCGACACCGGCACCTGGTGGATGTGTAGCACAAGCAGTTGGAAGTGGAAGTGGTGCAATGGTTGCAGCCGTCGTAGCAGTTATTGGACGTCCATTACCTACAATTAGTGAAGCAACAACAACAACAACAACTACAGCATTTACAAATGTATCATCAACAAATACGAGTCCAGAAAAAGGAAGCTATGCCAATGGACTCGACGATCGAATCGAAATGGATCCACCAACATCAGATGTATCTGTAGCATATCCTTCCAATGTTTCATGTCCTCCACATCCATTTCCAAATACATGGAAGAAACAACAGCAGCAATTACAATGTAAGCGCAATAATCCAGTACCATCACTTATCAGTCAGGCACAGCAGCAGCAACTAGCAAATAAACAAAAGCCAACATCAATATTGGCAAAACAAAAAAAGACACCAAACGCCAACGATACAAGCTCGAAACGTGAACGAAAAGCTGCAAAGACACTAGCAATCATTACAGGTGCATTTGTCGTTTGCTGGATGCCCTTTTTTGTTATAGCTGTACTGTTACCTATTTGTGGTGAACAATGTGAAGTATCACCCGTTATAATAAGTTTATTCTTATGGTTAGGCTATTTTAATTCAACACTTAATCCAATTCTTTATACAATTTTCAATCAAGACTTTCGTAATGCATTTAAGAGATTGCTATGTGGCCGTCGGAATAGTGTTAGGAGAAGAAACCGGAGAATGGGTGGTGCCAATAGTAATGGTCGCTGACATAACTCGTTCTAAATTGAATAATTTATATTCAATTTTTTCCATTTGAATGACGTAAACTTTTATATTGTGAAAATTGCTGGAAGTTTTCTTATTGATTTTTGTTGAAGATTTACAGTAGAATCCTTAGAATCAGAATGCATTCCTTTGTTTGTAAACAATTTAGTACAAAATTGGTTTAATTTTTTAATGAAGATTTCCATCAAATTTCACAATTTAAAATTACAAATGCTCAACTTTAGGTCATGAGTCACTGAAAATCTTAATCTTAAGTTATATTATTCTAAGTATACGGACAAGTGCTTTTGGTATGAGTGAAAGAATTCATCGTTTTTTTAATTTTTATATCATGGTCACAAAATTCTTGCTTACATATTTTAATTCCAACAAGAGAATTTGCTTCTCAATATCAGTTGATATATTACAATATACATATTAATCATTTGCTCATTTTTCATTTCTAAAATGTCAGCAAAAATGCCAGAAGATCTCCTCAATTTTCATCTGACAAATGTATAAGTATGAAAAATATTTTATTTAGGTACAAATTTTCCATTCTTTTGTTTTCCTTCCTTTATTGTCGCTTGACAAAGAAAGAAAAAAAGAGATAAATTTTTTTTCATACTAAAGAAACAACAGTGACAAGAGATAGCCACAAAACCAATAAACCATCCATAGCATCCGACCGACATAGCCACATTTGAAGTTGAATGTTAAAGAATGAGAAAAAATGGAAATGGAATGAAAAAAATATAAATAAGAAAAAAAGAAAGATGAATATAAATAAATAAATATAGATGAATATAGACATAGATATACATTAAAAAAAGAGATACACACTCACACATTTTGTTTGGTGCTAAAAGCTTGTTACAATATAATATTATTGATATTGAAATAAATCTGCCACAAACACACTTGATATTGCTGTGAGAACTAAATAACACAGCAAATCCTTCCTCAATCATACACACTCTTTATCTCCCTGTTAAATTCACAAGAAATATATATAGATAAAATAGAATATATAAAAGTAAATAATAATATTTTTTTATATAAAATGATGAAAATACAATAAATAAGCGAGAGAAGGAGGATAAAATTTTAGTTAATACACATAAAAGTACACTTAAGTAGACAAAGAAAAAGAAAAACAAACAATGTATAAGTGTATTATATTGTAGAAAAATAACGATAATGTATGAATTAGATTAAGGATATGAAACAACTTTTTTTGTGTGATTGATGTGAAATTTTCTCTTTTCCGCCATACCCATAAGAAATAAAACAAAGAAACAAGAAGAAAATTGTAATTGAAATGGAGAAAATCACACGAATAAATAAAGTAGATCTTTCGACGCAAAATTACATTTATATTAAGTAAACGGAAGAAATATATATACGTATGTTGACTTACGTCTACGTCTCATGACTAGAGAGATTGCTGAAAAATTTGTAAAATTTTTATACTATCCTCATTTTTACAATATAATGCTAACATTTGCGTAACTCAAGAAATAAAAGTGAATTTTTAAGTTTATTAAATTTCACAAAACGTGTACGTGAATCACACAATAATTCAGATTTTTCACAACATTTCTCCCTCATGGTACGTGAACCTTAATCTCATATGTATCTATATTACAGAACGCAACCAACTCACGTCATCGTAATCTTTTTTTATATGTAGAACTCACGAATAGATGAAAAAACACTCACGAAGAAAAAGAAGAAAAATAAATAAATAAAAATAATTTAAGTAAAACTTTATCTTTACCATGCGACACTCGCATATAAAGCATCTCCTTCCTTGAAAAACAAAAAGTAAAGAGAAAGATGAAAATGAGCAAAAAACAATCCATTTTATTTATAAAGTGTTATAAACGTAAATATAAAATGAGGATTGTAAGAAAATGTTATTATTGTTTACGTAAATATAAACAACAGAAAGTGTATATTTATGTGTATGAATAGGTGAAAGTGAAGGCATTTTGAAGACAAACAAAAATGTCAACCGAAGAACGAAGGAGGCAACACAAAGAAAGAAATCTTCATCATGTGTGTGCTTTTGACTTTAGGGATAATATAACATAATGAAATATGGTTGCGTTTTGTTTTGGGTTTTTAAATAATCGTCATATTTAATTGCTGCTAAGGAGTTTATTGTTTAAAAAATAAATATTTGACAATTGAGATAATTAAATTGACTATATAGAAAATATTGTATAGTACGGCTATTTAGGAAATAAATGTCAAAGATAACCTTATAGACATTCTGCCACTGAGCCCCCAATATTTTTAATGAACAAAAGCTCTTTTTTTGGATGTTTATCAACACATGACAGTGATATGTATACATTTATACTTTCTCTTCTCCTCATACAGAACCATAATTTTACTTTTTCTTTTTTTCTCACTAAAATGACACTCGGAAAACGTCACATGATCAAAAAATATATAAAGGAATTTTCCCTTCTACTGCTGTCTTAGAATTTTATTATTATTATTTTTTCATAGCTTTAAATTACGCAGAAAAAGAAGAAGATGACGAAAAGAATCAAGTCGTGTGTTTTGAAGCATGATGTATGAATATGTATACATCAAACATGTTGAAATATTTTTGAATATAGAAAGGGATATAATGATGAGATTTAATGCGAATAAAATGAACACAGAGATGATGGTGGAGATGAAAAAAAGAAAAAGTTTAACATAAATTTTATTGAGCTTAAAAATGGATGTAAAAACCATTTTTGTTTATCATTTTTCAATTTTTTTGAGAGTTCATGTAAGAAAATCATAAAGACACAAAATCACCTAGAATTCATATTTCTCAATGAATTTCTAATTATAATTAGATTATTTGGTTTCGATTCTGCACAAAACTTGTAACGTTCGCAAAACTAAACGAAAAGTTAAACATAAAACAAATACAGTTCACAAGACGCTTCGAAGTTTTTCCTCCATTCATCTCCTCAGACGTACAAACCCTGCAATTTAATCTGCGTGTAAAAGGCTGTAATTCATAACTTTCTCCTTTTAGTCTGCTCTTTCTCTACTCAACACGATATTTAAGAGGGTGGAACAGAAAGCGAACGCACATCGTACTAAATTAGTGCGGAAAGAAAAATATAACGGAGAAGAAAAGTTCTTGGCAAATGTGAAACATGAATTATATCTATACTGTGTGTTATGAATACGCTATTTTATGTTGAGTAATGATTAAAATAATTTTCATAGGAGAAATAAATGAATGTAAGCAAGGAAAGTAAGAAAAAAACTTATTGAAGAAATTTCTCGTATCGAAGCGCAGTTTTATAAAACTTATCGATAGCATAATCCACATATCAAAAACGAGCACAAAATTTTAATAAAATCGAATCATTTAAAAGTTGAGACTAAAGTTTTCATTTATTAATTGCGTCATGCCAAACGGAATCACTGGCTTGAAAGCTGGAATAAAGAAAAGTGATTCATAAGGAGCATAATAATTCATAATTCTCTCCATCTCTTTCGCAACAACAGCGATGTCTAAAAGTATTAAAATAATATGAACACATGAAAATGTGACAAAAATGAAACATTATTTATGCCTTTAAAGCATGCTCCGAGCAAAATTGTTGTAACCTTTTTTTTTTGGCATAATGAAAAATGCTTTTAATTCAATTTTATTCATTCCCACCTCATCGACCCATTCACGTTTGTTTCTTTCTTTTCTTTTTCTGTTTTATTTTCATTTGCCATTCAAGAATGGAAAAATATATAAATTGAAATAATAAGAAAGCAAGCAAGTTAGACAACCTTTTTTCAATGTGCAATACGAATGAGGGTGGAAATGATGCTATGACTATCATTTTGATATAGAAAGCGGTCGTATTTTCTCTTTCCTGTTTTTACAAACGACAACCAAAGAAAATTGTTTTTCATTATCGAGTTCATGTAGACAAGAGAAGTAAAAATTTGCGGTCCTCAAAATTGTTTACAGCAAATTTCTCTTTCTACCAATTTCATTCGCAATAAATTGCACTGGCTGTATAGACGAAAGACATGGAAAAGGAAGAAAAAAAAATTCAAATAATTTCTTTAATGTTAAATGTCAAAATTGGAACAAGGAGTAACAAGAAGATGGAAAAATTGTTGATGCAAACGTGAACTGTGTGTCATGAAGATTACAATAATAGAAAAAGGTTCCAATTGTAATTGGATGGATGTTGAAATAGCGAGAAGATGAAGAGAAAAAAAGTGTTATGAGAAAATTGGAAGCAGTAGTATGAAAATTGGAAATGACTGATGGAAAAATATACGAAATTTATTCGGTACTTGTTTAGACTTTGAGGATGCTTACGATTGTTTGATAATGTCAAGGTTCAACATACTCAAAAGAAGAAATATTATTTTTCGAAAAAGTCACCGACAGCATCATCTTTTCTATAAAGCAGTATCACAATTTAACATTTTAATAGTTAAATTGTTCCTTTGAATCCATATAAAGCTACACAGAGCTTTAAAATGACATCAACTAACTTGACAATAAACGTTTTTTTTTGTCCTCTCTCACCTCAAGTACACACGGAAAGAGAAGAGGAAAGCTTAAATAAATTGAAGAAAAGAAGAAAATATTATTGAGCAAGTGAATTTGTGTAGAACATCAAAAAGTGGTTTATGCTGTATCCTATGATGATATACGGCATAAAAATTTGTCATACAAGAAACCCAATCAATTGAAACTTTATCATTTTCAATGTTGAACTTTTTCTTTTGCTTTCAAGGATGTGTGAGGATCAAAATATCTCTCGAAATATTAACAGAAAGCTTCACAAGTTCAATAGAATGACACCTAAGTGTAATTTTTCATCGTCTCATCAATTCTCACGGTAATAAAGCATCTCGGTGTTCAACAGTAACGGAGAAAAGATGGAGATAGAAAGAAGAAATTGATTTACTTAATGATTGTAGAATGGGAAAATAATTTAAAGTCTTACGGCTTCTGCCTACATCATTCAATTTTCGAGTTTGTGCTTTAAGCTCTTACCTGATACTTTCATTTTTCTTCCCATCTTCTTCTGACTTAAACATTTTCTCATTTCTCTTTCATGTTCGCATCTTTGTTCAAAGCGCATGAAATGTCTGATGAGATTTTTTTTTACTTCTTTGCCTCTGACAGCAGCGTAATGTATAAGATGAAATTCCTAAATTATGAGATCATTGAGTTCTCAATCATTTCTTCATTATTACATATGAAAACGTCAAAATTAATATTAAATATTTGTTTGATATTGCTCTGCATGAAAAATTATAATTTTCATTTAATGAAACCTTCAAAAGTATTCCCCATCATAAGCCCTTCTTGGAGAATATAATTGAATTGTTTCTCAGTATTAAAACAAAATTT